AGTATTGCCGCTTGTTTATTTTTTAGTTTTATCAACTATTTGATGAAGTCATCGTCTGCCCTGAACACAGTTCCGAAATTGCTTTTATATTATGACTAAAATAATTTTTTAGTTGTGCGCACGGAATTTGCAGTTACTTTTGACTTGACAAGCGCCACACAAACTTTTGGTTACTTTCGTTCTTTCATTTCATTCATTTACTCAGTCGCTCATTCATTCATTAATTTTAGCTTCACTGCTGTCATTCAGAGCACACTTTAAGCAAACTATTGAGGAAACTCGATGGAGCTCTCCATTTCGCCATTGTGCGCTCTATTTCGCCACTAGTTGGCAGCTATGAGATGCGCAAAACTATATTTTTTATTTAAATTGAATATACTTTTTTATGGTTTCGCCAGCGATTGTTTATTTTTACGATAAATATCATGATTTTCGCATGGCTTTGTGTTGCTTTCGCTGCTTCGTATTATCGATTTCAATGCTATTCCAGTTTAATGGCAAATTGGTTTCGTCAAAAGCAAACTTTGGCAGAAATACTGCACAGCGAAGACGAAAATACATATAATTAAAAATAATTGGATGACATTGAAGCTGACCGCTCAGCTTATAGATCGAGAGCGAGTTGCAAGTCAGTTCCTGTTGCCTTTTAAAGATTTAATTACCAAACTATTTCCGACTGACACGCGCTGCCGGCGGCCGGAAATTCGAGCGTCAACTACAAAATGCTATAGAAATAAACAATACCGTTGAAAACTAAAACAAATTTACTTCAAAGGGGCGCGCACATTGTTTTGATTCACTTTTTGCAGACAATCCACCAGCCCACTGACCCACCAAGCCCCCAAACTCGAGCTCACTTTGCCACACGCTTTGTGGCGGAAGAGTTGCCATTTTCATTTTCTTTTGCGGCGCGCCATATTCTTTAAGTTTTTTTTTTTCTCTACTTTTTACTTTTATTATTTTTTTATTTATTTGATTTTATTTTTTGTGGCCCAGCTCATAATTTGCATGGCATGAAACTTGACTTTTGTTGCCCGGCCGAGGTGCCGTCGAGGGGTGGGCAAGCGTGGAAAATATGTTGCAGCGGCAGTGTTGAAAATATAATAGAAAAATAAGGTGCCACACAATATGGCCGAGAGCTTTACAGTTGGTTAAGTAGCAAAAGCGCGCGAAAGGCGAAAGGACGCAAAATGCGACCAAGCCAGCCGGATAAAGTGGCACCAAAAGCAGCCAACGGCATCAAGCTGCAGTCGAGGCCGGCGCCCGAGCATGGCGTGAAAATTGTTGTGACAAGAAAATTATAAACCGGAAAATGTTTTATGTTGTGGCCATGGCGATTCTTACTCCTTGAGAGTGCCCCTTTCTGTGCTTTTTTTCCTTTCCTTTCTTTTTCTTTTTTTTTTTCTTTTTGTGTGTGCCATTTTCAGTTGGCTTATTGTGGCCATATTAAATTGAGAGGAAATTAACAGTGAAATGATGCCAACTTACGAATGGGTCAACTTTTTCGGCGATAATTTGCCAAAGGGGATAAACAAACGACGGGCAATTTTGAAATAAGGATAAGCTCTGGAGGGAGTGGGCAATTTTTAAAAACTGTACAAATAATGCTTTGAATATGATTTAAGCAACTAAGTTAATTTCTTTTTCGTCTCGTAAACTCGGCACTCTTATATGCTTTTGGTTTGATTTAATTAAAAAACATTTTATAAATTCATTTATTTAGGCCTAGTAGCACAGGATAACCAGGAACACTCTTTCTTGTACACTCGGATAACAGGTTAAGAGCACAACATTCTGCCATTGACCCACTTTACAACACGGTACGTTTTATTGAAAAGAACTTTTCTTGGGTTTCTTTTATTAAAGAGACCCCCCCCCCCCCCCCCTTCCGGAACCAAGCAAATGCCATTAGAAAGTCTACAATGCGACAACTTAACTATAAATTAGTGCCGTGGCCACACGGCAAAAGTTTTCGCACCCACATAGCCGCACAGGTACATATATGCTACCCGTAGGCCTCGTGTCCTTAAACTGGCTGGCATTCATTATATGCTGGTTACTTGCACGTTTAAGTTCGTTATACATTTAAGCCCCCGACAAGCAGTATGCCACCCGTTTTGTGTGTCAAGCACACACACACTCTCCTACTCTGGGGAAAAAGAGGTGAAAATGAGTACAAACACACTCAGCTACAATTACAACACTCAAAGCCAGGAAACATTATATGAAAAATATATAAAAAAAAAAAAAATAAATAAAAAGGAGAAGAAGAAAACTGTGCACGTCATGCGGCAGGGCAGAAAAACTCGCTCAGCGAACCAAATTGCTCGGCAACTTTACTGCATAGTTAATTAATAGGATAACACAATTAATTTGTGGGCAATGAATGTCTGAGCTTTATTTGCCAGCTGCCTAGCAGCAAAAACGTTTACCCCAAGGGGCATACGGACGACTCCTCCATATACAGGCATATATATTTATAAATATATACATAAATATATATATATATATACTGTGCCTGTCCTTTCGCTTTTGATTCGCATTTTGAGCTCGCATTTGAAACGAGAAGCTCGAAAGCTGACTCATTTTTTGGTCAGTTTATATGGGTAGCCATATCAGAATTTGTTTATCGGACGCCCCAGCTGTGGCCTGGGCTAAGTAATCGCTAATGGTATGGGGGTTTTCCATAGTAGGCGACAGTAGGTTCTTAAGTAGGTTCTAAAATGTTCCATTTTAAAGACAAAATAATCTTTGGATTAGAAAAAATTTGCAATCAATTGCAACGATCTTCATATTGAGACATTAGATTAAGGAAATGTAAACTAAAAGCCACGATTCAGTTCCGATAATGTGTTATAGCAGCATATGAAACGAAAATATAATTGTAAAGAAAGTTCAAAGAGGAAATGCTTTTATTAAAGCCTTATTTAAAACAGTCAGCGAAAAAAAAAGGAAGACAATTCAAAGGGAAACAGAAGAGGGACTACTTGAAGGACCTCAGCCTCAACTGTGGCAGTGGCTCAATTAAGGACGCCGCTCGTGGGGACAGGCGTGAAAAGTACAAAAACAAAAGCGCACAACAACAACGACAACAACAACAAAAACAACAAGGACAACAAGGAGCTACTCACAAACATCAGTTTTAACTATTGTTTGCACACTCTACGCGGCATAGAGCCAAAGGGAGGCGACGGGAGGCGGAGTAGGGAGTGCTGCCCCAACTTTAAAGTTGCACACTCCACGCTTTGGGGTTTTGTTAAAATAACAAAAGCGGCCGCCGCAGCCGTTAACCAAACAAGTGGCAAATGTCTGGCGCCTGAAAAGGCGGCTAACGAAAATTTTCAAAAACGTAATTTTTTATGCTGTCACAAATTTGACGATGATGTTGATGATGATGATGATGTTGCCGTTGATGCTGCTAATGATGATCATAATAATGCTGATAATGACGTTCCAGGCAATATTTTGCCAGCATTAAACAAGTACTATATATAAAACACTCGACTTTATGTTGCCATTTTGCATAGTTGTTGCCGTCGTTGTAAGTTGTTTGTGTTGCCAACATTGTTGTCACAAAAACACACACACACACAGATGAAAAGAGTAGGAGAGAGAGAGGGAGAGAGAGAGAGGGAGAGAGCTTTATACAGCAAACAACAACAAACTGGGCAACTTAATTTTTCCGCATAGCCCAGGACATTGTCAAGGTATTGTCGCCCTTTGTTTTACTCTGCTTCTTTTACTTGTTGTTGTTATTGTTGTTGCTCTGGACGTCAAGCTGAGCGAAAAAGTGCTAAAAATGCCCAAACAAGAACACAAAAAAAAAATTTGATAAATAAGCACTTCGGGCTTTGAGGCTTTTGTTTTTACGCGTTGCTTTTCCAATTTTATTTTTTTTTTGTTAGGGTTAATTTTTCGCGTTTCAGAGGCGAAAATTCAATATTGTTCGGTGAAAGGGACATCAAAAATGAAAATACGCTTTGATTTTGTGTTCGAAACAACGTCACAGAGAGCTTAGAAATACGTGGAGAACAGCAAAAGGAAGAGAACCTGAAACTGATCAATAAATGGAACATTGTTGCGTGCACAAAAATGTTATATGACACGTTTCTAGCGAGCTTGAAAGGGTTTAGAGGGTGTGAAAAACATACTTTAATATTATTTTAATACTAAATATATATTTATAAAAAAAAAAACAATAAATATATATATATAATATATAGATATATTATGTTTACCTTGTAGTCATCCATGTCTAAAAGTTGCGTTGCCTAAAACCACTCAAATGTGATATTAAATTGTATTATTTATAATTATTTTAAGCACTTTTCACTGGATTCGATAATTATGATTCTAAACACGATTTATGCCGTTCAATTCTTAAGCTTTTGTTACATTCTTTTTTTCATATTTGATCTCTGGTAGTCTCTCTATAATTGGGCAAGATCTTGGACAAGCACAGCACCACATTCGCAGGCACAAAGACAAGCGCAGAGGCATAAAGCTGCCGCCGGAGCCTAAGTTAAGGCGCAAGCTTTCAAAAGCTCTCTCAAGTCTAGGCTCAAAAGCGCACAATGCAGTGGGCAGCGGCAGTGAGAGACAGCGAGAGAGTATAACAGACAGAGATAGAGAGAGAGAGACATAGCCACTAAGCTTCAACTATATGTAGATAAAAGCACAGATTATATACCAAAAAACTTAAAAAAAAAATAGAACATATAGGTAAAGCACAAAAGCACAAACGACAAAAGCGCGACAAGATCCGTTTTTTTTTTTTGGTTTTTGGGTCTTGTCCTTAAATGCATTGGGACCTGGGCAGGTTTGGATGTCTCATTGTTGGAGGGGGGTGGTGGAGTACTTAAGCCATGATGGATTAAAGTTAAAAATATAAAAGCTTACAAGCTACATTCCATACATATACGCGGTAGAAGCGGAGTGGTAATGGGTACATGTGGGCATAGGTTTTGGCATTCTATATACTGGTTGGGCATAATACTGACCTTGATACTGTCATAGCAAGCGGTAACCTTGCCGTTCTGCACCTCCACATTGGCCGGCGGATGGGCGAACTTGCACTCCGTATCCTGGCGCGAGCATTTGTTGCGCTGAAACTCGCGGCACACCTCCAGCTGCAACCAGCGCGAGTCCTTGCCATTCAGCAGGCTGTTCATATTCACAACGTTGGCCATCTTAGCGGCAACTCTTCAGTATTATAATATATATATATATATATATGGGTATTATAGATATATATATGTATATTATATAAATATATAGTTTTTAGCTGGGGAGACTATATAGATAGCTTAGCTGGCGACTAGAAATGTTGCGCGATTTACGTTTATGACGTTGGCTTTGTTTGGGTTCTTTTTTGTTTTGTTTTTTAGATAAACAGCTCTTAGCACAGATCAGCACCTATATATATAAGGTATACATATATATATATTTAGCATAGATGGTAGCGTTTTGTATGAGTTCTTGTTGTAGCGTTTACACTTGCTTTTTTTTATCTGTTTACAAAGCTTGGGGATGGCTGATAGCTTGGGGTACTTGAAGCCTATCTTGGCTAAGAGTTGTATAGTTTAATTTTGATTCGAACAAACGTTTATATATAAATATGCTTTAACTTGATTATTGTTTGTAAGTTTAGCAGCTTTTTTGCTTTGCTTTGCTTTGTTTTGTTTTTGTTTTTTTTTTTGTGTAAGCTTTTCTTTATTGAGCATACGCTGATTTTACATTATCTGAAATGAGAATAAAAAAGAGAAATAGACGTTTAGGTTTATACCAAACATTTGGTTAACTCTGAGTTTGGATAGGTGTGTTGTACAAATCATTTCAATATTGACCAGCACACGCGCTTTGGCAAGACAGAAACAGAGATAGAGTATGACAGAGACAGACAGAAACATGTGTGTGTGTGTGTGTGTGTGTGTGTGTGTGTGTGTGTGTATGCAATGCTGATCGAATTTTTGGGTTAGTAGCGCGCAAATTATTGGAGCTTTGGTTAGTTTTTTTTCTTATTTGGGGATGCAAAGATGCTAAATGAGTGTTAAGTGCATTAAAATAAATTAAATCATAAATTATGAGGGTTGAGTCTAAATTATAACTACGTTTAGCTTATCCTTTATGAACGCTTCCACTTTGTCTGAACTTAACTAAATATTTATTTGATTTATTGATTGACTTTGAGTGAATATCAAAAAATATTAAAATTATCATTTTAGAAAACTTTTTTTTATGAAAATATTTAGTTTTTATGGAACAATTTTTTTAAGGTAATTTAATTGAGTAGTACAACATATTAAATTTTGTATACATTTTTTTAACTCTGAACTTTCTGACAATTTAAACTAAGAAAGGATAAGTCTTCTTGGCAATTCTTTCAAATTTATGCCTAACAAATAAACTACATAAGTTAAATTCCAATATTTTCAAAATGTGCGTGAAATGAATAAATGAAAAATCGTTGGGGATTTCTTTTCATGACGATTGTGTGACTTATTGTGCAATCATAAGGATTTATCTATGAGTGTTTTTATGGCAAAATATGGTATAATTATATGTCTAGATATAGAGCGTGAGCAGCCACAGCATCATCCGCATTGCAGCCAAATATGCCAGCCAGGCAACAGGCAGCAGTCGCAGCTAAAGACTTGCCACAAAAAGTGTATTTCTTTTTTCTTTTTTTTGCTGCTTATTTTTTGCTGTCTTAACACCCGTTGCGCTCTATTGTACAGCGAGTTAAACCAAACCAAGCACGGCCCATAACAGCAGCAATGCACATTGACAAACTACAAATAAAGTGCGCCAAGTTTTTCATATACAAGAGATTATTATATATAGTTTATGGTAGTACTTAGATTTGGTAACATTTTTCTGTTTCCCAGCGGCATTTTGTAGCGTTCAGCGTTAAGAAAACCAAAAATATAAATAAATAAATACCAACTAAAAATAATATTTCTTATATCATGATAGCGAAAGCAACATACAAATAGAGAGACAGAGAGAGAAAGAGAGTGAGGGAGAGACTTGTCTACGTATATTTTTTCTATGGCAATAGTTATCAAAGTATTTGATTGATGGCGCCGCAAATTGTTTATAAAGTCTAAATTGTAATTTTTTTTTCTTTTTTTTATCGTGCTTTCTACGCGTTCTTAGCAAAAGCGAATAAAAATTAAACGCACTTACCGCTCGCATAGTTTCTTTTTTATGATTAAATGCATTTGCTTATAAGTATAACAAAATCTCTATAAATATTACTGTAAAAAAAGTGTTAAGTAAACATTAACGGGGCATTTGTAATATCTATCATTTATATCATGTATATATACACATTATAATAATGAGCAATGTTTACTAAATTAGTCGACCCGAGAAATTAAAAATTGCAAAATCTTCGGAATGATTCAATCATCGATGACGCCACGCAACAAAATTCATTTGTTGTCGGCTGTTTTTTCTGTTTATTGTCAAGTTTGATTGTGTACACTCTCTTGTATTTGGCATTTCATTTCTCATTGTTGTTCCTGTTTTTGTAGTATTTTGTGCGGCTCACAATCTTATCTTATCTGCCGCCCCCCAAATGAATCAAAAATTGTCATTCAAGCCCAAACGAAAGTAAGTTATTAATCAGCGCCTGCTTCTGGTTGTTGTAATTCTGAGTAATATTAAAAGCAATTATCAAAACAAACTATTTATGTGGATATTAATTTTTTATATCATCTGCATCAAATAAATATAAAGAAATGTGAAATCAAAAATAAATTAAAACAAAATATTTCTATTTCAGCTTTTCTTTCTTGGGAGAAATATACAAAAAATATATCTCATAAATGTGCTTAAATTATGGTATGAAAAGTAACCGCGGGCCAGCCAAATAATTTTAAAATTAAAAGGTCGCCAAAATAAACGATATAAGGATATATAATAATGTATTATGATAGGCTTTTTAGCCCACATAAATATTAATTAAAGCCTATTTATCAAATATTTTGGTGATTAATATATTCATAAGATTCCATCGATAATCAATTTTCTAAAAACTCTAAGAAATATATATTACTTCTGGTTCTTTTGCAGATGTGGCTATGCCATTTAAATTTAGAATAAGTTATGGTCTTTAGTATAATTTCTTTTAATATCCGTATACAAATGCGACTTCCATTTAAATATTAATGATTGCCCACGCACAACCCTGAGCAACATGTGCAATGGCTAAAATAGTTTTTGGTTAGCTACCAAAAGCCATATATATGTATATGTATATGTATATGTATATATCGCTATCTGGCCTTTCAGAGATATCGATTCACACAGACAGCCACATATACAGATGCAAATGCCAATACATGTGCAGTACATTATCTATAGTAATTTTTAAAAAGATAAAAACCAACAAAAACAAAAGGTTAAACAAAAAAACGCATTTATAATTTTATAAATTTTGTTTGTATATATAACAATAACTTGTTGCTAGTCGGTCGGGGAATATACATATATATATATATATATATATATATATATATATATATATTGTTTTTTGCAGTATAAGTCTAATATGCTGTTGGGGCTTGTATGATGTCAGCTGCAAATTGCTTTTCCGTATTTCAAGTTGATATTCAAAATAATGTATATAAAAACAAAAAGAAGTACAAATACTAACTTAATTTACGAGCTGATTCTTAGATGTGCGTCTGTGTGTGTGTGTGGGTGTGTGTGGGCTGTGGTTAATACTTATGGCATGTATTAAAATAATTCCTGTACAGCTTCTTCTTTTTAACTGAAAAACTGAAAACACAGCAAAAAAAATGGATTTAAGAAAAAAAAATAGAGAAACTTTTAAACAACGCAACCAGCGCCCACACAAATAGAACCAGCAAAGCGGACGTGTTGAGCATCAAATGTGAATAGAATAAATATATAAATATATATATAGATATGGATACGGATTCAGATACAGATACAGATACAGCTACAGCTATTCAGATACACAGCTAGTGCTAGGCATGTCATTGACGCAGTTTCTGGATACAGAGAAATTTATGGGCAAGCAACTGCCTGCGTGTATGTGTATGTGTGTGTGTGTGTTGTGTGTGTTACAAAAATAAACTTGCCTACAACTAAGTAGTGTGTGGCCCAATGTGTGTATTATAGAAATGTGGGCCAAGAATAATCGAAGAGCGATATCGATGACTCGATGACATTAACATCCGATGACCTACAAGCAACCTTCAGGCTTCAGTAGTCGTTAAAATGTTATAAATAATCGTATGCACTTATATAAGGATATTAATTTATTGCTAATTGAGCCCGCACCGTGATTAAAAAAAGATTAATACTTTAGCCGGAGGCACAACAAAACAGAAAAAAAACATTAAGCAATGACTTGAAATAAAATTAAAGTAAAAACGCAACGAAAAGATGCAAATTGCTTTAGACGTGAAGACCACAGAAAAAAGACACGAGACAAAATCAAGAAACAGACCAAACAAGTTCAACAAGTTTTAAGTCTTGTATTAAATTTTGGTAGCACACTCTTTTTGTTGTTGTTGCTTTTCCTTTGTTTATTTTTACTTTTTTTTTTTTAAGGTTAAACAGAGAGAGAGATGGAGCGTAAAAGAGAGCGACAGAGCAGCACCTAAAGAGCAGCTGAAACTGAAATCGAAAACTGTTAATTTTTATAGCTTTTAACACAAACTCACTAAATATTTACATTCATATATTCATATTCGTATTCATCTCTGTATTCGCTTTGTATTATTCGTATTTATGTAAGCTGTACCAACAAAAACAAAACAAAAAAAAAGCTGTACAACAAAAAAAAACAGCAGCTGCGTCTGTTGGAATGAGTCGAAAATTGTTCCACATGCGGGAACAATTACCCGGCAATAATTGCAAGTGGGTTCCACATATATTTGAATAGCATAAAAATTAAAACAAAAAATTGGCATCGCCTTGAAATCTGCCAAAAGATAAAATTGGAAATGAGTGCAGGCCAATGAAAAAGATGTTGAATTCAAAATATCCAGTGCTCGGATTATACACTTCGATAAAACAATAATTCGACGATTATCAGTCTATTTCTTATTTTCATATCGTTCAACGATAACACTCTTCAATATGTTTATATACCCTGTGTTGCTATAGATAAGTTAAACAAACTATAGATAAGTTAAACAAATCGAAAAGGTTTGACAATATAAAGGAATGCCTCTTATATCGATAATTAATCGATAAGCAACAGTTCTGGTGCAGCCTGACCTGTTAATATAATTAACTGATCGATGAACAAAAGGGTAATTGCCAAATATTGATAAAGTGTTTCGAAGAATTGATAAAACGATTAAGTAATCGATAAGCTTATCGAAAGCTCCTGGTTATTAAGTTATTGGACGTTGTCTTAACGGGTCGATAGAAGAATTAATCAACTTGTCGATATTTCAAACGAAATTCATTCATTCATTCTATAGTGAGCCTTGGTTAATATGACCAGTCATATATTTGTAGCCGATAAATTATGTTATCGACACCGAATGGGTGCAAAAAACTCAAAATTTGTAAATTCAATTAGGCATTCCAGCTGTGCCGCTTAACCCACATGCCCCACATCTTATAGCGCCGGTGGAATTGAGAGCGGGTCGCTGATAAGGGAACTCACAGCCGATGACGACGTCGTCATCGACTGGCCGCGCTGTTCACAGATTGCTGTTAAAAGTCATTCCATATATGTGCTTAATATTGT